CCTAGATTAGATCCTATTCTCATGGGTGAGGCAAAGATTTTGGTTGAAGTTGAATTAAGTAAAGCTTTTCCAACAAGGATTGCTGCTGGTGATGAAAAAGGTTTTATCTCTATGGTGGATGTAGAATATGCATGGCTCCCTACTAAATGTAGTAGGTGTGGACAATTAGGACACAAGATCAAGCGATGTTTGCAAACTGAATCTGGGTCTCATGTAGTTGTTAACACAACCGCAGGGATTGAGACGAGAATGGACGCTGAGGTTGTGATTAGATCATGTGCACCTAATGTCTTAATTGATGCACATCAGCTTTCCAATTCAGTTGGTGCCACAACCGAGGTACCTACAACTCCAACAATCGCCTCAGCCAACGAGGTCAATATTACTAAAGCTCATCCACCAACTGTGCTCGCATCAAAGACCATACTTGAATCTATTAAGTCTTCCCTTGTGGAGATTCCACCATTTTCACCAGCCTCCGCTTCTAGACCTGCTCATGTTACCGTCCAAAGGGATGGTAAACAAGTTGAGCATAGTACTCCCAAGACCTCGTCCGGCAAAGATTCGAACCATTTTGCCTATTTGTCAGTTGATGAAGATGAAACACTGGTTTCAGCTGAGGATTCTGACCCATTGGATCTCATGACACCAACAGGTAAAAGAATTCTTAGGGATAGACCGGTTAAACCATCAACAAAAGCAAAGGAGATGAGTTGGCAAGTCGTAGCGGCTGGACGTGGAAACTATGGTCGCGGAAATAGAGGTGGCCGTGGCTAGCTCGATCGATGTTCCGTGCTACACTTTCTGTTAAACCGAAGCGGAAGACTCGGTTTAGTTTCTTGATCATTTGATTGTGATCTTATCTTACACTTAATGTATTCTATTCTACTTTTAAAAACAAAAATGACTTTGGTCATTGTTGTAACCGCTTACATGAATAAAAAAACTCGTTATTAAAAAAAAAAAAAAAAAAAAGATAAAGAAGAGGAAGAGGTAGAACTCGAAAACGATGAAGTAGAAGATGAAAAAAAAAATAAAAGATAAAGAAAATGACGAAGAAAAGTAAAAGTTTATGAAGTAGAATTCAGAAAATACAAATACAGTAGAAAATTTTTAAATTAATATTCGATAAACTAATAAATTTGATTATTTAATAATTTTTTCGGTCTTAGATTATATTTTTGACCTAATTAATCTTTTTATAAATTGACAACTCTTTAAATTAAAAAAATATCAGAGTCCTCAATGTATTTAATTTATAGAGTTTTTACTGTACAGAGATGTTGAAATTGAGAAAAAAGACCAGGAAATAGATGACAAAGTATGATCTTCAATGCCAAGTTAACTCTAAACCGTGAATATAATACTAATCTCGCTCACATATATGGTATTCGTAATTTAATGGGCCTAATAACCGTTCAGAATCGTTGCAACAATTCTATCACTCTAACTCAAGTAAATAAACATATAAATCAATACTACACAGATTTTCAAGTCTTTGTTAATTTTTTCTCGCTTAAATGTTCATCATCCAGTATCAATTTTCTATTAAAGTCACCAACACCAAAGTATTCAAATAAATATCTTTTTATAACTTCCATACACATGCAACATCATTTGCATGATCTATCCAAATAAGAAATTATTACATGATGAGATATTTTTAGAGAGAATAATAAGGATAGACAGATGGATATTCGCACATTATAAAAAATAATATATTGTTTTCTCTTAAACAAAAAAATATCTTCCAAATCGTTGATCAAAGTTGAAGGAAAGGTATAATTCAATGTTCAAATTATATCCACCACTAAGCATGCCAGTAGAACGTCAGATAATACACCTCGAAAATTAATTCATCTATTATATTAAAACAAAAGCACATTTAGTACTTGTTTCCAAACACACTTAATTTTTTTTAAGTATTTAAAAATAATTTTAATAATTATTTATATTTAATTTCGAAAATTAGTTATTAATTTAAATATTTTTAGAGTTCCTTAAATATAAGTAATTTAGATTGATTTGATTTGATTAAAAATAATAAATCAAATATTAATTTAGATTTGATTTAAAGATTCTAATTTAAATAAATTTTACATTATTAAACATTTTTATCAAAAATATCTAGAATTTTGGAAAAAAAAATAATTCACATATGAAAAATAATGGTCATATTTGAAATATACAATATTTATAATGATGTAAATGATATTTATGTTGCTTATATAATATATTTACGATTATGATTTATTTACAAATTAATAATAAAATAAGAGGTAAAATTCAAATGTTTAATTTAAATATTAAAAATATATTTTTTAAAATTTATAGAACTAAAAATATATATAAAAATTGGGTTAAAATATTTTATTAACTAAAATCACTAATTTTGAATTATACATGTATATCGAAAATATATTTTTCATACAAAATAGAAAAAAAAATTTAAAATTATTGCATACACTCTATAATGTGGTTTGAAAAACCAGTTGTACATTCCTTTCGTTGATTAAATTTTAGAAAACTATACTGTTAAATAATACTGTTAATACATCTCAAACTTTTAACAAATATTTATATTATACGGTAATATGAACGGAAAAGTTAAAATTATGTTTTTATAATAGTTCATTTTGAATTAATATTAGCGGACCGGTTAAAATCATATTTTTATAATTATAATTAATTTTAATACTATAAAAATATATCTAAACACAAAAATCAATATTTTCACTTATTAAAAAATATATTTATAAAAATAATTATATCTAAACTCAAAAACACAAATTATATTACAAAATTTGTTAAACAATAAAAAATATTCCCGTGCGGATGCACGGGGTTAGAATCTAGTTTAATGCTTTAAATTGGATATTTTGTTTAAGTTTACAAAAAATTATACTATTTGGTATAGCTAAAATAAAATATAAGTTTTTGTAAGATTTAGAAATAGTATTAATAAGTTCAAAAGACATCATGCATGCACTTGGCGGAGACATCAAACATGCTATAACTTTTCAGTTTAGGGATCCATAAAAGTGATGTCGTCTTATTTTTATTTATGTTATTGCTGATTTTTCGTTGTTAGTTTGGAATATTTAAATTTGGTTTGTATTCATATTTTTAGAATATTTCATCTTTAAATTGTTAACTTTTACATCTTTATGGAATTTTTTTTTGTTACTATAGTTTTAAACTACAGATAATTGAAGAGAATAGTATAATGTGTATACATAATGAAAACTAAATACATAATAATTCGGCTTCATTGTTATTTGTAGTTCCATATTCAACTATAATAATTAGAGAATTGAACCTTTTTTAATCATGAAACAATTTGACAATTGATTATAATTTAGTTTTGAATAATAAACTTATAACGTTTTTTTATAAAAAAACTAAAAAAATCATGCTCGCACTTGGAGATGTCTACAAATATTTTAAGCTAAAGTGTGTGGAAATGTCGCCAAAGAAGGTTCCAACGATTGAAGACGTATTCTCTAATTTTATCTTCAAATTAATCATTTACAAACACAACAAATTAATATAGGTTTAAAATTATTATTGGTTAGGAACATGTGATATCTGTATTTGAAATATCACTCCTATTATATCAACCATTTATAGCAAATGGTTTTAGAGAATATAATCTTATGTAGATTTTAATTTTAAATTATCATTTAAAAGTCTACAGAATAATGATAATTGTACAAATTAATTATCTATAAATTCAATATGTAATTATAATTATGTATTTTTCATATAAATAGCAATTTACTACATGTATTTTAAAAAGAAACCTTATTAATGTTGATTTCATTAAGATCTAACAATATTTAGTTTTTCTATTTTTAATTTACATTTTGTGTTATATATAATGAAGTTAGGTCAACTAAACACCGGTCAAAAATAAAATTTATATCATCAATTTGTAGCGAATATTTGTAGAGAATATAGGTTTTTAAAAATTTTAATTTAAAAAATAATTAGTTAAAAATCTAAAGAGTAACAAAATTTAAAAATGAATAATTATACAAGTTAATTATCTTTAAATTCAATATGTAGTTTGGATGTAATTTTAAAAAGATTTAAAGTATCTATGTCCGCGCTGCGCTGACACCCATCTAGTTTTTAATAAAAACTAACAGTATAGATAACAAAACGAAGCTAGAAGCACTTATTTGGACCATGCACTGTATGATGGACAATAAGACAGAGATAATATTTGCGATAAAATATTTCGAGTTGTTGAAGATGGTGTCGACACCTGAGAAATGGTCGGCGTTCTCTCTACACTGGAAGAAAGTTTGGAGATGCAAAGAGGTATTCGCTTTCTTTTCTATATCACACATACGAAGGCAGACAACTTAACATTGAGTGCTCGGATCTATCATTTGGATGTAATATATGTAAATCTGATACCACCGGTTTGGATTTCCCAACCGTTCTAGCTAGATATTTAGGTTGTTGACAAAAAAAAATAATAATAACAAAATGGGTCAGAAAATTTAGATAACTAAAATTACTAACTTTTTTTATTATACATGTTATACCAAAAATATAAATTTTAGCAAACTATTTACTACATTCTCTACCAAAGTTAAATGTGTTAATCTCAAAACTTTTATAACCACAAACACATTTTGACCAAAGAATATGAGCTTTGTTTGGAACTAATTGTGTTGCTCTAACAATTCGGTGACCATTCTAAAATATTTTATCTAATAACCCATAGCTGGATCAACAACGTGCAAGAAAACGACCATATCTTTTGGGCATTTATACCAGATAGATCACCATAGTTCGTAAAGTTGAAGCATCAAAATTATAAGAAATTCGAGCGAACACCACGTTTAGATAAAGTTGCCATCACCAAGTGACAAAGATGCTCTAATCTACTACCGATGACTCTCCCAAAACCAAAAGATAAATAAACTAATCTAAAACAAATGAAAAAGGTCACAAAGATACTCCAATTATTAACCTCAAATCTCTAGTTGATTGAGTCTTTCAAAATAAGCACTAAGGAATTTTCAGTAATAATCTAATCATCGACGTACACAAGATCATGAATCTGGTCGTCGTTTTGCGCAGTAATAACAGAGAATGATCAGAAGCATTTTGTGCAAAGCCATACTCTGTCGGTGATGTGGCAAGCTTCTCGTACAGCATTGTGGAGCTTGTTTAAGCCCATACAAAGACTTATGCAACTGAAAAACCTTGCCTTTTTCTGTAGTTTGAAAAACAGGAGGAAATTTCATATAAACTTCTTCATCAAAGTCACCATGGAGGAATGCATTGTGAACATTTGGTGAACTTCCCAGTCATTCAAAGCTGCTTGTTGAAGAAACGTCCGGATGGTCATCATCTTTGCTACAGGTGCAAAGGTTTCATTGTAATCAATGCCCTCAGTTTGATAATTTCCAAGAACAACCAGCCTTGCTTTATGTTGTTCAAGAATACCATCTGAGTTGAACTTTAGGCAAAATACCTATTTGCAGCCCAAAGCTTTCTTTCATGGTGGAAGATCTTCAATAGTCCAAGTTCCTAAATCATCGAGTGACATGATCTCATTTTCAACTGCAAAGCGCCACTTTTCATCTTGAATGGCTTTGTTGTAGTGTGTAGGTTCCTTGGCTGAAGTAATGGCCAAAAGATATGTTTGATAGTGATCAAAAAACCTGCACTTGACAAGTAATTGGCAATAGGATGTGGAGTATTCAAGAGATGAGGCTAATGAAGAAGGATGTAAATCCATAAACCACGTGAGTAAT